TTGCTACTCATCACCAACCACTGGAAAGCCATATGGCTATGTACTCCAAGAGACATCATCCGATGTCCCAAGCCAGCTGTATCCCAGTTCCTTCACAAAAAAATCAAGATTTCTAATACAAAAAGATTATTTCTCCATGTTAAATGGGATAGCACATGCCAACAAAGAAAGAGGCCTATACACCCAAAGGAATCTTATGATTAAATATCAAAAAAAAATCTCTACTTCTGAGAAGTACAGATGTTTATTATAAAACTGAACAGGAGATAAAGCAACTGCCACTAAATTTAATTTTGTGCCATGTTGTTTCCAAACTTTAAGTCTCATTTTCAAATACAAGCACAGCTAGAAAGCCTTTAATATTTCCACTATGATAAAAATCACAAAGAGTCACCAATCATACTGTGTTTTTCAAAAACAGCTTGGCCTTCTCTACAGTAAGCAATCATGTCTTGCCTTAGGCAATGTAGTTTACCTCAAATTATTACAGAATCATCTAAAAAGATTCATTTTTCTATTAAAATGATGAATGAGCTAAATGAGGTATGTAATAAATACTGCAGATTTGTAAACAGACTTCTCTCTTGAGAACTAATGCCTTAACTCATTTAGTAATTTCTTCCCTCTGGTATGTTCTAGTGAAGTCATCCTTAAAATATGGTTTCCAACAGGACTGCTTGGAAAGAGCAAGAAGGTCAGGATATAATCTGCTTATGGAAAATAGGGGACCTCCTCTTGACAAAGATAATGAATTGAGGACAGGAAGAATAAATGAAATACTAAAGCTCAGGTCATTGCTCGTACACGTGACTTGGACCAGCCACACACGGATGATAGGAAAACCACCTAAACAGTTGAGACACAGAAGAGTGAAACACTATTTCAACTATATGTTTTCACTTATGACACGAGGCCAAATTCATTCCTAATGCAACTCAACGCACTTCAGCTCCAATATATCAAGGAATGTATTTTGTCTATTGATTTCACGGCTTCGAAAAGTAAAGGAGGAATTATCCATCTCAAATGTGATTCTGCTAGCAAAAATACCCAATTATCGGATTACTACATTCACCTAAGGTGCAAAAACTGCTTTTTCATATAAGGATACTTCTTCCCAATTGATTTTTTTTGAACACAGTATTTATTAATAGGCATTCTTGTGTAGAAAATTATTTAAAAACAGAAAAAATGCAGCAACAACAGATTTCATTCTCTAACAGGTACTTCAGTGAAAGCCTGGAACAATACATAGGAAAATATATATAATTGTATTAGCATGGATACAGATTTCTAATGATGGCAATAATCAAATTTTAATGTTATGGTTCGAGCAAATGAACAGAACAATATTTCTCTGCCTCTTCAAAGGGAAATGAGACTTTAATGTCATTGGCAGCTCAATAAAACCATTTTCTAACATACAGGGCCTTAATGACAGCTCATTTCAGTCCAGACAGTAAAGCAAATACGTTAACAGTAAACTCCAGGTCATTATGAGGAGATGGAAATACAACAGACCTTCTGCTTTGTGGAGGGACATCGATTTTTTACTCTACGTTCTCTGTGCCTCACCCCAACTCTCATAATGACTCAACTGATGGAATGTCAATAAGCTATTAATGGTAAAGTTACCCCATCTAAAGCCATTCAACGAGGCGATGTTCAACTGAACTACCTACAGTTGGTAGATGTGCAGCAAGATCATCTGTAAGAGATACCGCAAAGAGAACAGGTCTGATCCTACATGAAGAAGACACAGCACAAGTGTTCAGCACTATGGAGTCCTCAACTGTATCAGTCTTCACCAAAGATCACACCAATGCCACTTAAATATGGACCGAAATAAAAGATTTAGCTCCTTACAAAGCCCTTCCTCAAGGAGGAGGAGAATAAATACAACACTGCAGTGACAGAAACTGCTAGAAAAGACTTGAAGAAGTTCTTCACCAGCAAAGCTGCCCAAGCTGCACATTTAAGTATGAGAGAGCTTTATTCAATACAAGGCACATCTGTCTTTTCACTCCTTGCTGCCAAATGGACAGTCCTACTCCCTCTTTACTCCTCACTTGTCCTTATGCCTAACACTGATGTTTGTGTAACCCTTAAAATAGTTGCTTCACAGAACTAGCTAGACAAGGGGAAAAAAACACAAATTTTCACAGGGATAACAAGCTAAATAGATCATTTCAGCATGGACTTGCTGCATCATTGCAGTGGGGAGAGCAGGATCCCCCAGTGAGAGATAAAGCTGAGACCACGAAGCAGAGGCAAGACCCCAAAGCTCTTGGGTGCCCTGGGTCTCCCTGGCATCACATCTGAGACACCACAGCCATGTGTTGCATGAAAAGTCAGGCTGCATCTCAGTGGTGATTACTGAAAGCCAATGACTTCTGATGACTTTTAGTAAAAGCAGTTAAAAACAGTTAAAATGTGTGTATTAAAAATACGTGGGTTTTTTTTTTTTTTTTTTTTTTTTGGAAAATAAACAATTTATAACAAATCTTCATGCTTACTGCCAGGGCCAATTCCTACAGCTCTGGTGAGGGTCTAGAAATCTTGCTCTCAGACATAATTTCTACCTTGGCACAGACTTCACAATTACTGTTTTGCAGATCTCTGCATCTCCCCTAAACTCATTTTAAGCAAAGTCGACATTACATTAGCCACGTTCCAGTCCACTTGCACAGAGGGAGTTTCGCTAAGAGCTTACGCAGCAGTAAGTAGTTCAGCTATCAGAAGCTCATCCATCATCTTAGAGTTTCTTTCAGACTTTGTGTGAATTTAATGTTGTTATTAGCAATACCATCAATTTCTTCCCTATGTTCTTCTACCAATATCCAAGAGACTGTTTGAAGAGACCTCTGCCAAAAAAGTTCCATCATGACAACTTCCATGAGTTCTTCCACCTTCAATAGATAATAGGACAATTTATTTATGGTGTCCTTTCCTGCTATGGCTTTTTGGCTCTTCTGTGCACTGCTCTTATTCCCCAATCAAGTATTGAATTGTTAGTACCAAGACTAAACAGTCTTCGGTAGGATTCCTGTTCTAGGGTTTGCATGCAGAGGTGCCTGTGTATCACGTATGTATGTTAGTCTTTATAGCTTTTATTAATTGCACTTTGACACCTTTTTGGTCACATGGTGTTTCTGTTGCTTTTCTTACATTTAGCCTACCAGGTGACATGATCTTCCTAATTGTGATTGCTTGAAAATTAATTCATAGCTTCTTCTTTTTAGGAATGCCTCCTTCGCCTTCCCTTGCTGTTCAGGCTCTGTTGACTTCTTTTTTTAGGTTTCTTTTTTCTCTGGTAAGTGGATTATGTTTCCTTAAAAGCGATAAATGATGTCTTTCTGTAGCTCTTCTTGCCATCTGCAAAGCTGTTACTCTTTTGGCTGCCTGTTTCAGCCTCATTTTATCAAGGTGGGTTTGTTTTTTAAAGAGTTAAAGCTAACTTTTAATATGTTAACACTCAGAAGCTTCTTCTCTCTGAAACTACAACAAGCAGCTGGTGTTAAAATGTTTTAGGAATGAGAAGCATTTATGTCAATATAATAGCTTCACGTCTGTTCATCTTTTAAAATGAATTAGCAGTCTTATAAAAAAGTTTTTCTTCCTTCCTCACGATAGTATTAGCATTTACCATGCACTGTTTAAACAGTAAAGGAGCAGCAAAGAAGTTACCTCTGTAGATAAAACTACTAACGTTTCAGAAACGATATAAAAAATGCTCCTCCACAAAGAATCTTATAGACCAGATAAATCCAGAGTACATCATATACCAACTTCCTGAAGCAATTACTTAACACACGAGAGGTTTTAGGTGCAATTTTATAGGTGCAAAAAGCACAGACATGAGATGACGACGCCAAGTCATGTAAGTCACTTGCCGACTTGCAGGACATGTCCTAGCTAAGTAACATGTGCTTCCCCAGAGACACATTTTCAACCATGAGCTTTCCAAAGGTGACAGGCAGCAGACCCTACCCCACTAAAAACAGCAACTGCCTCGGTCCCATCCTACGTGACAGACACGTCACTTGAAGACGTAACGGCGCTTGCGTCCTTTCATTCGCACCGTTTGCCCGCTCTTCTTCCCACTCAACGGGCACACAACTTGAGACAACGCTCTCCAAGCTGACAAGAATCAGTGCAAAGCAACTCCTGATTGCTTCACTTGAGCTGTTCCGACTGAAATATGCTAAAATACGAGAAAACTAACAATAAAAATGATGTAACAGCTAGGTAAGCCACTTCCATATACACAGTAAGAAATATCCCTATGGTATTGAGATATGATATCTCAAATATCCTTCAAAAGCATGATACTAAATACAATAGTAAAGTGAAAAATGCAATGTCCTGGCAGATATTCATGCAAATAACATTCCCAAAAACATATCTTCATCTCTTTGTTAGGCTGAAGACACCACAAAACCCTTTTATACCCTGGACAATATTAGCAATCAGAGGTTTATGTCATAAGATTAAGACTGTGTCTAGATCAAAATTCCATACCATCTGCATTTAAAATAACAGAAGATGAGCCTGTTTTTTAACTGGATTAAAATAAATTATTCTTCAATAGTGGCATTATCAGATGGATCTGGAAAAACAACAAAAGCATTGGGAAATGACTCCAAAAGATACTAATGCTCAAGTACATGCATAAACTTTTTAAATAATCCTCAGTAATTTGTAAAAAACACCACAGGCAATAGATTTTTTTAAAAAACCTATACAGCATAGATAAAACTACTGCTTATTTAAATGGCTTGCTTGCTCTTTACTACCATATAATTCTTGGAAGGTTTTGATTTTAGTTTACTTTTATAAATGTTTATACAGACACTGACATAAGCAATCCCATTTATTTTAAAAGCAACGCTCGCATAAGTGATTTTAAGCTATTTTTCCCCCTTGAAAACACCGATTTGTTTACCGTTTATACCCAAGCCCTTTGCCAAAAAAAAAAAAAGAAAGAAAAAAAGGCACGTTCATACCTTAGAGAACAATTATTATTGTTAGATAGAAGACTCAATAGAGGCAGCCTCAAGCGACCGCTATAGGAAGCTATAAATCTGCCCGACATTTGAAAATGACTGAAATATATAGTGCCAGTTTTCAGGGGAAAACAGCCAGCTATATTTTACAACTTCCTTGTCAGGAAGGTTTTTTACATCAGCTCTAATGAAATACGATTCTTCGATGCAGAATTCTTCACTAAGCTGGTGCCAAAGTTTGAGACAATCATCAGAATCAGACTTTTATTCCGTTTTGTAGAACATAAAAGACTCTCCAAATTCTGCTTCATAAATCCTTACCAAGATTTGTTGCCCAAAATGTTATTTAACTAAGTAGTAGATAATTAATTGCAAGAAGAGTGTCTCGTAGTCAGTAACTTCTTAATATGGTTAAACAAAATTTACTAAATAGACCTAGATTATGACATTATTCTTCCTTCCTTTGAACATAGAGGCAAATAATACTCTTCATTCACTGGGCATATTTGCAATCTTCTTAAAAATTAGACTTTTTTTGATAAAACGGGGGTATTTCATAGCAAAAGGAAAGTGAAAAAAGCAGGTAATACTTAGCAATAAGAAAAAAAAAGATGTATCAAAGGAAGAGATTTGCTTTCCTGTTCTACCAACAGTTGGGAGATGGTTTTTAAAAGTGTTTTTGAAAAACAAATCGGGGTTTCCCGTGGAAGTTTGTGAACTTACGAAGCGCTGGGCCTTCTGACGCTCCTCCTCCGTGGCCGCCCGCTCCCTGAGAATGGCTCGAGCCAAGTGCTCGTTCGTTGCGGCCCTCTCGCGCTCCACCAGTTTGCCCAACTCATCGCGTCCATACGTTGACTCTTGCTTCAACCTAGGGAAGATGGAGGGAAGCAGAGATTGGAAGCCTATGTCAAATACAGCCTGGAAAGACATAAGCATGATGCATTTAAGGATAGACACTGCAAGAACCAAACACTCATAATAAACCTTCCTAGTGATTTCAGATCATCATACAGAGATACTGCACCTCTTGCAATAGAGTTCAATGCACACAGCTGCAGTTTCAGGAAATTCTCAACATATCTACAGCATTATAAACCATAAATTTCTTAGAAACTCTTAAAATAGATGGGGGGGTCCTTATATAAAGCACTAACTTTCTTGAAAATAGAGTATGAATAGTTTGTTTAGCTAACAAAATTCATCTATTGCACGTGTGTTGTGACAGTGAGCACAAAGTCAACACCGGAGAGCTCCGAATCATAATGGAAATATCAAATACAGGTTTTCAAACAGATACTTCAAAGAGCAAGGGAGGGGAAGCTTAAGTATTCTCAGTGCATTTGTACGCTGTCAAGGGAGCTTCAAGGAACAAATCGTAATGAGGAGGGTCACTTTGTAAAAGGTACTTGCATTACAGTACATTAGATTCTTCCCCAGGGAAAATATTTAAGTGGGGAGGGGAAGGAAGAGACAATTACAACATGTATTACTTTGTGCTCAGACACAACCCCTTGAAAGGCAGCAACCAACTGGGAGTCTTTATAAAAAAGTTTATTAAGAAGCATCTTCAATTACTCCAGGAAAAAAAGCCAGATTATGCAGACATGGACCAAATTCCATTAAGTGATTTCCCAAGGTCCCCCAAATTATTCCAGCAGCATCGATATATCAAAGACTTCACGCAATCAATGGTGCAGTCAAAACACACTGGTTATCTTTTCAATTGGAGGAAAATTGTTTTGCCCAGAAAGTGTCAAAATAGGAGTCTCAGCAGCAATTCCATGCGAGGCACAGCAGCAGCAGCACTCAGCGTTTCCCGAGGCTGAAGCACGCTCCTTCACCATCCTTTTTGGCTTATTCTCAAGGGTGTTTTTCCCCTAAAAGTCTGCCTCTGCTTTACGCAGATGGCAATTAAATTACACGAAATTGGGTACTACCTGAAAAGGCTGCCAGTTTTTCCACATGATAAACTCTCCAAAATTAAAAAGGCTCCAGTACTTACCTCTAATTCTCAAACTACTCCCGTGTTTGACATTAGCTCAGTTAATGTTTCGAGTCTACTCTCCCTCTTGTCCCTAGGATTACGCACCTCAACGTGATCTCCTCTCAACCTCTCTTCCAAAGAGAAGAAATTCAACTCCTCTATCACTTAGAAACAACAGGCTTTAACATTGGGATACAGCATTTGAGAGGTTTCTCACTGAAGCTGAGAAATGAAGACATCCTGCTCTGCTCGAGCCAGTTCATCTAAGATCAGAGAGACTCTTGAGATGGTCACAGCCGCCCTGAGTCTGAAGTCTGAACATAGCTCCTTGGAGCATCACACTCAAAATAATAGTTTAAGGGGAAAAAAAATGAGAAACAGTATTTTGAAGAGGCAATTTTAAACATAATATCAGTATTTTATATATTTAAGATCTGACCAAACATGGAACATTCACAGAATCAGAGAAAATTCTCTGGAATTTTCTGGAAGAGACCTCTGGAAATCACTTGGTTCAAACTCATGCCCAAAACACATCAGGTTCCCAAAGCACATCAGGTTAGAGTAACAATAGCCAGTTCAGGCCCCTCTCCCAGTAAAACTCACTGCTCTCCTGGGGCCAGGGCTACATCTCTAACCCTCCCACCTTCTGCAGGTGCTGAAAACTGCTCTTCACTTGTGCAGAAGTCACCAGCTCCCAACCTCTGCCACCACAGGAGCCCATGTCCTCCTGCTGCCTGTACATTGGCTCCAGCTGCCTGTCTAGAGCTTCATTGCACAAACACATGTCACAAAACAAAACACCTTCTACACCATATTATTAAGGCATTTTCAAGCGTAATGTTCCTCGACAGGAAGGAATACCTTTTATCCCGTTTCTTTTATCCTTTAATAATATCCTTTTATACTTTAATAATAGCCTTTATCAGTGTGATCCAAGCAGCAGGTTGCCAGCCCCGTTCTCTCTACAGCTCTCCCTAAAAGAATAGAGGATCACTGCAGCAAGCAGGAATATTGCCTAAAACCACCACATTTCTCTCCATCTGGCTCAGAGAAGTTTGTCTTGCTAAAGCCCATGAGAGGCGAGCGAGCTGCAACCATACTCTTGCCTGCAAATATACTGAATATATATGAATATATTCTTGCCTACAGCCTTGCCAGAGCAGGAGAGGAAAAGATGAGGAAAAAACAACAAAAACCCTACCTTTTATATATATAAATATATATACACACACAGATAGGTACAAACTATATGTCAATCTCCAGTTGTTTCATGTTGTTCCTAGCTTAATGGACTAGACAAAAATCTTTGCTGCTAAAGGCCTGAAGTCAGGTAATTCTTTCACACTTCGGCAATGCAGAGATGCTAGTCCTCCTACTCGAGCACATCCGACCTCCCGAGTTTAGGACTCTCATCTTCGCTATCCTTCCCCATCTCCAGTATTTTTATTCTTTCTTTATGAACAGAGGAAGAAAACATCTATTTACTTCAAAACATAACAGACTAAAGAAAAAGGAACTCTTCAGTTCAGCTTAATTGTAAATCTTTTTCAAAAGAGCTATTTCTCCGGATAGATCAGGAGTCCTTTCCTACAATTTTTCTTGCTTGGTTCTGAAACACTCCGTGGCTTTTGCACCTTTGTCATCAAGAAATATCCAGATTTCTTCTACATTCACGTTGATAAATTCTTCAGCTTCTACAACTAGATCCCTCCACTTGCTGGGGACACTACACAATCTTATGAGAAGCAGGTGGCTTCTCACATATCAACAAGAAAGGTCTCTACAAACCTTAATAGCTCTACAGGTGGTTGGGGCAAGGTGTTTAGTAGTAGTTTATTAACCTTTTTGATTAAGGCACACAGGTCATCTCACCAAAGGAAAACAGCTCACTAAAGGATAATATTTTACTCCCTCTCACACATACTCCCTTTCTTGTGCAGCATTCTGCCATAAAATAAGTTTATATTATTCCATGATTGACTTTTTTTTTACGGGTTAGTCCGAAAAGATACAGTTCATGTTCTTCAAAAACATCTATAAGCACTTGGCTTTTTACACATGCCTTAAAGAAAAAAAAAAGTTTCTTTTTTAGTATCTGATTCAAATTCATGTGATGATGTATCTCGTACCATATCTACATAATAAAATGTACAGCAGTACTAAACTTCCTGAAGCACACGCTAGACATTTACATTTAAGGCAAGCTGCAGTCATAAGAATATCCTAAATGCCCACGACTGATTAAAATTCACCAGAGTTTTATCAAAAGTAGTAGGATTTTGAAGTAATTTTCACTTATTTGAGTTACATAATTGGGTGGCTTGTAGGAGCTTAATGAAACAAACAGCAGGCAGCTACGCTCCAGTATCTCAAACATTTGCTTGCATCAACTTACAGTAGTTTTCTTCCTAAACACTGCAAATTCATTTTACTGGTATTCAGCATGTACCGCAAACGAAGGAAGACAAACAACAGCTAAATCTTCAATAATTAATTATATAATTACCAAAGCAAAAGAAAAATCCAGACCTGCAATTTGTAAGTAGGTACAGCGCAACCAGTCAGCTTAATTCACTCCAGGAATTCCATATAAATAAGCCATTTACAATGATAACTTTAATCACAGAAAAATTAAAGGTTCAATATAATGGTTCCCACGTTCAAGCACCAAATCCTAGTTAATAGACAAGAGGTATTACGCCTTACACTGAAACAAACTTTGTGCCCTAAAAAAAAAAGTGCCAAAGCAACAGATAGGGCTATATATTTTTCTATAAAGTTGATAGTCTGAATTAAAAATATATGAAATAATTAGGAATTATTATTTGAGAAGACATACAGCTGTCCAGTGACACTATCTGGTTCTGGGAAATAAAGCATGCAGGAGGATTACTTTTCCACAATGCTGCCTGAAGGTCACACCTAACACATTGACATAAATCTCCACATACTGACCTCAGAAGGAACACATCACAGCATTTTATGTTCTATACTGTTTTACAGCATACAATCATGTATGAAATAAGAAACAACTGCCCCTGCCCTTCTATAGCAAGGACTTTGGAGCCCTTAAAGTGGATGCTTTGAAGAAAGTTTATTCTTGTAGGACTCTTGCACTTTTTGCAGTTTAGCTAATATCCTAAATCTCTTACTCTTCAATCTCCCCTGAATCTTCTGGCCCTTAGAAATTCTATATTTTAACTTCTTTCACCCATCCTTTCCATACTTGATATATGTTTCTGGTTTATTAAGTGGAAAGTGCAATTCACAGCTCTAACTATGGCACCCCACAACTCACGTAGTATAATGTTTTCTGTGGTATATATTCATTAATTTCTTACTTCAATACCATATTTTAGTAGCAATGTCTAAATAAGCAGACATTTCCACTTAGCTACAGATCTATCTACTGAAGGAATTCAATTAAATTAGGAAACATTTTAAAAGCCAAGGAGTAACAAAAAAAATGAAGTGTAAATCTGTTGTCAACGTGAACACAGGATGAGGAGTAAAAAACATGTGTTTGCCTTCCTGAATTTTTAATTTGAGCCATTAAAGTATCATTCATTGGAACATGAACACGTTCTAGCGTGGAAGCAGGAAACGCTCTAGCAATGTCACTGACTGCTCGTTACTCCAGTTAATACATTTCTCATAACTATGAGATTTACAAACAACATATTCATCACAGTTCCCATCCATGCCCTGGAAATCTGTCTTCAGCATACACCAAATCTGTACATATTACAGTTCTGAAATAGAAAAATGCTTGGAAAGCTTCATGTTTTTCTCTGTGCTAAGACACAGGCTTTCTTTTCCTAAAAACATGTTAACAGAAGCCTGTCTTCCAAGTGAAAAGCTCAGTCATCTACTAGATAGCA